ATATATACGTATATATATAAAATGTGTGTGTGTGTGTGTGTCTATATTTTGATGCTTACTTGTCAGTTCACCAGCCTCATTGGCGCCCTTCAAATTTTCATCAAAAATGCTCCAGTTTCGTGTTTCTTCCCGGTGCCCCCACCGCGCTACCTTCTCCAACCTTGATCTGGATCTCGCAGTGGGCCTTCATGAAATTTAATTAGCTGAGGCGCCGCTGTCGGTCTGTTCTGACCCTGACCAGCTGCTGTCCTGCTCTCCTTTCAGACGACGCCACCCGAGTGGTGCTGCAGGGTCAGGAGGACTATATCAACGCCAGCCACATCACGGTGAGCGTGTCACCCGTTTGGAAATTGTCCCCCACGTCTGTGCTTTTTGTTTGAAGTTTATCCTGTTTGCGTTTTTTTGTTTGAAGTTTATCCTGTTTGTGTTTTTTTTTGTTTATTTTTACATCTGTATGTCTCTCAGGTGGCACCCCCAGCGTCTGGTGTGTGTTTACGTTACATTGCGGCTCAGGGTCCCCTGCCTCAGACCTGCACTCACTTTTGGCAGTCAGTGTGGGAGCAACAGATACACACCATCATCATGCTCACAACTCTGACAGAGAGGGGACGGGTATACCACACTTTTATTTATTAAACAACCAGAGTTTAGAAGGAACAAATAGTGTACAGGGCGCCAAGTGTAAAACAAAATGTTACAAAATGTATTCATTATTTAGGTCATTTACTGAGTGTAAAGTCCAAGTTAAAAATTACCCACTAACATTTTATTTTTATTTAGCTCACTAAATAAATCTAAATCTAACTAAATCTACATGTAAAGTTAAATCTTAAATGTTGAAGTTTTATATTTAAGTGAATCAGAGTGGAACGCAGCCTTTGCTGTTGGTGCTCAGCTCTTGTTAGGACCTGCGACAAAAGCAGTTCCTAATGCCTCTAACGCTGCTAATGCTACTAATGCTTCCTTACATGACATCAAGCTTGCAGTTGCAGCCGGTGTCCAATCTGTACTTCAAACCGCCGGACCACAGGCACCATCCAGTTTGTTTTCAATGAACACATTTTGAATTAAAATTTTAAATGACATCTTCAGCAGCATTAGCAGTGTTAACCTTTGTCCCAGGATGATGACTTAGGCTGTATCTCAATTCATGGGCTGGGCCACATCCTCACTGGGCCGGGAAGGCTGCTCAAAACTGCTGTGAAATGAGATGATCAACCCTTCGCCTTTACATGAGTTTGTGTGACCACGCGCTCCCCCGTTACCATAGTAATCAGTTTCATATCAGACTTAAAATGTGTCGGGACGTGTATTTACACGTCTTTTTACTGGAAGAATAACTTCACAGTTAAAACGTTACACATAAATAAATAAATAAAAACATTAATAATTCAGGTTTAGCTCCAGTATCTACGACGGAGTAATAGGGCCACACAACCAGATTTACGAAAATAAAGTCATATTTTTATTAAAATAAAGTCCTAATATCACGAGAAAAAAAGTCATAATCTTACATGACGTGTCCATTTTCCGTTCATTTCCTCCTTATTTTCCTCACACCTGCTGTGTACAGCCATGTCTCTGTGTTTATAAAGTAGCCCACAGTAACTTGGATCACTGTTAGATTAATATGCTTTCATCCAAATTAACTACGTGATGACTAAATCTGTCATGCATCCATTAATTACAATACAGCTTCAATTTATCATATAGTTATTTGCACAATATCCAAGTCCTGCTACTGATAATTTGATGCTAATATGCTAAAAGATTTACTATTTATTTTAAGCAATACTAAAAACAACTTGACAAGTTGCTCAACATTCCTCAATTTAATGCAGTGATAACTGCATGTTTTTTCATGTAAAATTATGATGTTAATCTTGTAATATTACAATTTTATTCTCATATGACTTTAATCTCATAATACTGTATTACGATTTTATTCTCATAATAATATGACTTTAATCTTGTAATGTTATGCCTTTATTCTCATAATATTATGACTAATATGACTTTAATGTCGTAATATTATGACTTTATTCTTGTAACTTGTAGTTGAATTTTTTTATTTAACATCTTATTGCAGCATAAATTTCATCAGCTAAGTTGCTAAACTTACTTTTAAAAAACCAGTCCTTCAGGCCGTGGTGAATTTTCAAACTGCGCTGACTCGTTAAAAAAAACCCACCGTCTTCATTCCTCTGTTTATTTTGCCGCCCACGCATTGAATCCTGGGATAACCACATTCCTCGGCTGCATGATGAGGAGCCTTCAAATTGGGACAGTCCTCCGCGCGGGGCAGTGACATATGCAGCCGACAAATGCGCACTCATGAGGACCCAGCCCATGAACTGAGACACAGCCATCCTAACAAGAGCTGCGCACCAACACTTAAATGTAATTTTCATCATTTAGCCACAACATTTAGGTTATTGACATATCACTGATTCTTGAAACTTTGACAAAAACATGTCCCAGTACAAAAAGGGCTAATTTCTGTTAGAAATAATAACATTTTATAAAGAAATGAATCTAGGTTATCATCCAGGGGTCCTTTGCACAAATGTGAGATTTTTTTTAGCATTTTTTTAAAATTTGCATTAATTTAATGATTATCTGCTGACCCACTGCCCACAGAATCACTTGTCCTCAGACAGGAGATATTTAGTTCAACTAGATTAAAAAAACAAAGGTAATAATTTACTTGAATCATAGTTTGACCACATGAAATATTATTTAAGATTTAAATTTAACATTTAGTAAAAATTTGTAAAATATAACAT